CGAAGGCGGATGCTATGTTGACTCAAACAAACGCGAGCAACGTTCAAGCAGGCGAGCGGCTAATTTGCTATGTACATCGAGAAAATATAATTTTGTGATTTTGTAATATTTTACGCAGCATGCGGCAGCCAAACAGGGGAATCTCCAGGTCACTACACAGCCCCCCTCTTAGAAGGGAACCGCAGGTGACCCTTCGATCTGCGTGAGGACTGTCCGTCGCCGGCCAGCCTTCTGCGAGACCAGGCGGTGAAACCTGATGCAGCTGCTGGGGGAGAAGCAATGCGATCGGACGCTAGGGGGGCTCCCACCCATGTCCTCCCTACAGGTGCCAAAAACACAAAATGGGGGCAATGTTCGTAGCGTTCGAGTGCGTAGTGTCAAAGCACACGATGTTTGAGCACGTAGTGTCCGCAAACGTAACGTTCGATTATCGTTGAACGTCCGCGTGTCGGGGGTATGAAAAAGAAGCGGAAACGCGGAGCGTCAAACAAGTGCGAGCGACAGAGCTAACAAAAGGCGATAGCACTTACCGAGTGCGATAAGCGAATAAAGCGAGAACCATTTTGTGTTTTTAAAACGATTTTCTCCTTTTTTGGGTTTTCAAAAAGTCTTTGCGGTTTTCAAAACGCTTTGCAAATTTTTTGGGTTTTCAAAACGTTTTTGTTGGGCGGGTTAGGCCACAAGCAAAAAGGAAGCGGGAAAAGAAGAATGAAAAGACTAATCTTTTAATCGCGCTGGCCAATGAACCCGCCTACCTGACCTAGTCGATTTCGGACGTTCGGTCGGAGGCGTTGTCGATCCAGCAGTTTTGTCGGATGAGGACGCTTTCGGCTCGATAGAAACGTAAGGACCTGAGTCGGAAGGGTTAGTCGGAGAATGCTTCGTAGCATCGGAAGTAGGCGTGTCGTCTATCATAGGCTGCGTTGACTCGTCCGAAGGTGGACAGGAGTCATCGTCGATCTCAGATTCCAAATGGGCAACCTTGAGACGGTCGATAGAGACAGTTTCACGTTTACCGTGGCGGTCGATAACGAATACGCGGTCCTTACGTTTAAGAACCTTAAATGGACCTACGTAGGGTCGTTCGAGTGGTCTGCGTAGAACATCGACTCGAAGGAAAACGTAAGTGCAATGCAATAGAGCTTGTGGAACGAACGATTTACGTCGTTATTCTCGCACGTCGGTTACTTTAATATGGCGCATGCTCGTGGCTAACTGCCGAGCGTAATTCGCGTCGTATCGGGGTGTTCTAGGGTTTTCAGAAAAGAATTCCCCAGGTAGTCGAAGAGGTTGTCCATATACCAATTCGGCGCTGGACGTGTGCAAATCAGCTTTAAGAGCTGATCGGATACCAAGTAGTATCATGGGCAGTGCTTCGGTCCAGCTTAGTGCATTAGCGGCACTAAGTGAGGCCTTCAGCTGTCGGTGGAAACGTTCCACCATGCCGTTGGATTGCGGGTGATAGGCGGTAGTCCGGATGCGTTGACATCCGAGGACTTTGAGATCGTTAAAAGTCGAGGATTCGAACTGCGGACCGCGGTCGGCAGTCACGGTGGCTGGACAGCCATGTGAAGCGACCCAGCGCTCAACAAAAGCGCGCGTTACGGTGTCCGCGGATACGTCGGGTATAGGTACGGCTTCGGGCCAACAGGTGTATCGGTCGATCATGGTCAGAATGTAGACCATTCCTCTGGATGGTGCCAAGGGTCCAACTATGTAGAGATGGACATGGGCGAAGCGAGCTGAGACTTGCGGAAAACGACCAAGCGGGGCGGACACGTGCCGCTGTATCTTGGCCTGTTGACACGTTAGACAACCGCGTGCCCAGCGCTTAAGGTAGCGTTGCATTCCGGGCCAAACGTATCTCACGGATACGAGCTTGCTCGTGGCTCGGATGCCTGGATGAGCGATGTTATGAAGTGTGTCGAAAACTAGACGTCGAAAGGTTGCTGGAACGACGGGTCGAGGTCGTCCAGTAGAAGTATCGCACAAGATTGTGCCATCAGATTACGGCAGTGGATGCGGTGTGATTCGTAGCGAAGAATCTTGTTTGACGTTCTGACGGTCAGTGTCGGTTAGTTGCGCGGTAGCCATGGCAGGTAAGTCTATTGCCTGGCCAGCGGTGTGGATTGCGGAGACGCGCGAAAGGGCGTCAGCAACGACGTTATTCTGACCAGAAATATGTCGGAGGTCAGTAGAAAATTGAGCCACGAAATCCAGCTGACGAACCTCACGTGGTGAGTGTCGAGCTGATGGATTTCGAAAGGCGTAAATAAGCGGCTTATGATCGGTGAAGATAACAAACGAATTACCTTCTAAGACGTGCCTAAAATGTCGCACGGTAGAATAAACTGCCAGCAGTTCGCGGCTGAACGGGCGGTACTTGGCTTCTGCCGGTTGTAAGCGACGGGAGTAGAAAGCGAGTGGCTTCCAGCATCCCTCAGTGAATTGCTGCAGGACGGCGCCAGTGGCGGTGTCCGATGCATCGACTGCAACGCTGAGTAGAGCCTTCGGGTCGAAATGGTGAAGCATAACGGCTTCGGCCAAGGCCTCTTTGCAGGCTTTGAAGGCTTCGGTTGCAGCGGGCGTCAATCCGACATTGCCGTTCTTGCGTCTACGAAGTAACTCGGTCAATGGACTGAGCAAGTCGGCACAACGTGGCAGCAATCGACGGTAGTAGTTAATCATCCCACTAAAACGGCGGATGGCGGCCAAAGTAGTCGGAACTGGAAATTCCTTAATAGCGCTGACTCGGTCTTCGAGCGGCCGTATGCCATGCTGGTCAATTCGATGACCAAGAAAATCGATGGATGGTTGCTAAAAGATGCATTTGTCAGCGTTGACAGTAATGCTATTAGAAGCTAACCTCTCGAAAAGCATCTTGAGGTGCTCCGCGTGCTGTTCTTCGGAAGAACTAGCTACCAAGATGTCGTCTATATAAGGATAAACAAAGTCGAGACCTCTGGTGACAGAGTATATGAAGCGTTGAAAAGTTTGAGCTGCGTTACGAAGACCGAAAGGCATTCGCAAGAATTCAAAAGTCCGAAAGGCGTGATGACTGCGGTTTTCGGAATGTCATCCTCGGCTACAGGGATCTGGTGGTAAGCGCAAACCAGATAGATTTCGAGAACACACGGGCGCCACGTAGGCTAGCCGTGATGTCCTGAATGTGCGGAATGGGATAGCGGTCGGGGGCGGTAGCGTTATTAAGAGCGCGATAGTCGCCACATGGACGCCAGTCTCCTGACTTTTTAGGCACCATGTGTAGAGGCGACGCCCACGGGCTCTTAGACGGGCGAATAATGCCTAAGTCTAACATGTGCTCGAATTCGGAGCGTGCAATTTTGAGCTTGTCGGGGGTCATGCGCCTGGCTTTTGCGAACACAGGCGGACCTTTCGTAACGATGTGATGTGTCGCGGCGTCGGTTGCGGAAGGCAACGGGACGGCAGGACGGAAGGTCTGCGGAAAACTATCGAGCAGCGTTTGCCCAACGGGTGAACTAAGTTGAGTCGCGTACACGGGACTGATTGACGCGGTGTCGGTCAAAGTCCCAATGACTGCAAGGTTCGTAAGGCGGTCGACTAGACGGTGTCGCTTAACGTCGACCAGTAGGTCGTAATGACGTAAGAAGTCGAGACCAAGGATAGGCGTTTGAACATCCGCAACGAGGAATATCCATTTGAAAGCGCGTCGGAGGCTGAGGTTTGGCGTGCGCGAGCGTTGACCATATACGCGGATAATGGTTCCGTTAGCTGCGCGCAATGAACTAGTCACCTTTTCGGTCGGGTCATTTGGATCACGCGGGAGAACGCTGACTTCTGCGCCAGTATCGACGAGATAGCGAACTCCGGTTCTACTATCGGTGACGAAGAAAAGGCGACTGCGTTGACCAGCTACGTCCGTCGCCCCTACTTGCTGGTCCGCCCGTTTCCCTGCTGCTGTCGTTTGAAGGAACAGGGCGGGCGACATGATTTAGCTTGCTGGCCGAAGCGTTCGTGGTACCAGCAGTAACCGTTTCTATCCGGTGATCGAGAAGGAGACTTCGAACGTGAACGCGAACGGCTCCTAGAGCATTTACAGCGGTTATGTCTGGAGGCCGAAAAGTCTGCGAATTGTCGAGTCAACGTTGCCATCTGGGATATAAGCATGGCGATATCGTCGTTTGGTTTCGTCTGGACCTGCGAAACCTGGCCGTACGACTCCCAAATTCGGTCGGCTGTATCGGCCAGTTTGGATAAAGGTGCATCCTCACTAGCGCAGAGGATGTGTAGCATCTCGCACGGAAGTCGTTGCAACCACATTTCCCGAAGAAAAGAATGACCTATCGAAGTGGGTTTAGCTAGGCTCTGCATTTTTCGAAGTAGCTGAGACGGCTTAAGATCGCCAAGATCGGTTTCGTTCAGAAGTTTCGTAACTCGCTGTTGATCGGATAAGCCTGTTCGTCTCAGAACAGCTGTCTTGACTGCATCGTAAGTCTTTTGGTCGTCAGGAAGATCTAGAATGTCATCAATGTCATCGATGACATTTAGCGGAAGCGCGGAAACGACAAGGTGGAACTTGGTCTTTTCGGACCTAATACCACGCAAAGAAAATTGCGACTCTGGCTGACCAAACCAAGACTTAGGATTAGTCTCGCGAAAAGGTGCGATAGGAAGCGTAACTGTGCCGATCTGAACGTCAGAATCTACGCGATCAGTTGCCATAGCGAGCAAAATAGCGAGCCAGCAAGATTAAATCGGAAAATGAAAAGTGAAAATCAGACGGGTTAGCGAAAAAATGTGGCCAAATCTGAAAAGAAAGGTTAGCGAAAACTCACCGGATAATGACCAAAATTCGGGGTCACCAATAAAGCGCGAAGCGGGATCGGTACGCTTTAGAACAAATACGCGGATATAAGGCCAACCTCCGGTGAGTGGAGAACACCAAAGGTAACGCTAGGAAAAATTTATTAAGTGGGCGAAAGGCTATAGCTAGGAAAGTTTAAAGGCGAAGGCTATTAGGTTTTCGAGCTACTGCCCGGGCGGTACCTTTAGCCAGTTGTTTGAAGCTTGACGCCGAGTTTGGTTATACCATAATAGACACATCAAATAATCCAAAACCCTCAGGAGGCCGCTGTTCTATTCCAGCCAGCTCCCCAGACTCCGACCTTTTTGCTGTTCACGATCAGCTGCCACACTGTAGCATTATTGAGACACCAATTAATGTGGCGTTCGATCGTAGTCCCCCTCAGTTTTTAAACAAAGAACACTTCGAACATTTTCCATCTTTGAATCTCCAAGTTCCGTCTGTTTTCAAACTCGTGTTGGATGGTCTACGACCCTTTTTGTGTTATTCCTTGGAGTTTGAAGCGATGGCAACTCATGTCAACTCCAATCGTTTCTTCAGTAAAAAGAGTTCTTCCTTCACTGTGCTGACGTACGACAGCCCTCCTGCTGGCGCTCCCAAAGTCATGCTCGCTCGCTGGCTTCAAAATGGCACCGTACTTGATATTAGTTGGCAGCCTCCTGTTGAATGGGAACAGGGAGGATTCCTCACTGGATATACTTTGTGGGTACTGACCTCCTCCTCATCCTTCAACCAAAACTTCAGAATTGGACCAGAGCAACGATCGTTGCTAATCCGAAAGCTAGACGCATGGACCAACTACACCATTTATCTAGCTGCTGAAAATTGTCGGGGCGAGGGGATTCGCTCCCAACCTATTCACATCTTTGCTGAACCCCCAAACAATGTCGCAAAGCTGTTCTCTTCCTCCACCCATTCTGGTACTATTCAGCAGTTGGTACATCGGCAGATAATTTATGATGGTCGTGAGGCGATGACTGAAGCTCCTTTGCTTCCTTACTTTGATGCAGCTAACGTGATGATGCGCGCTTCTGAATCACCCGAGGAAGAAAGCCTGACTCGTGAACCGTGGTTTATTATTGCGGTGATCGCCTTCGTTCTTTTGTGGATCTTGATTGTGCTTGGTTTGGTCTTATGCGGTCGCTATCGGAGCCGAAGTCAACGACGTCGACTGGATATGGGAGACACAGATGTGACTACCAAGAACGGACGACCGGTATCAGCAACGGATCTTTATCTCATTCACTCTTGGCCGCCATCAACTCTCCCACAAGAGGCTCATCCGCTGGTTTCGAATTTCGATTCTAACGTATACTCTGACAAATCTATGATTGGAAATGGCTATCCATCTCTAATGGTTCAATCCAATGGGTTGCTTCCTCCCATTACGTTCGGTCCGCAGTCGATAGGTGGTAATGGAGGCACACAAGCAACAGTCGTCACGGGATATCCCTACAATCCGCAACATTCCATTGGGCCGCAGGGTACAGCTTACGTCACGTCGGGGTCACCAATAAAGCGCGAAGCGGGATCGGTACGCTTTAGAACAAATACGCGGATATAAGGCCAACCTCCGGTGAGTGGAGAACACCAAAGGTAACGCTAGGAAAAATTTATTAAGTGGGCGAAAGGCTATCTAGTGCTAAAAATAAGGCACCGAAAGATAGCTAGCTAGGGAAAGGTGTGGTCGCGTGCGCGGAGAGCAAAGATGGCCGCGGAGCCGAGGAGCGTCGCGCCGTTCGAAGGCGGATGCTATGTTGACTCAAACAAACGCGAGCAACGTTCAAGCAGGCGAGCGGCTAATTTGCTATGTACATCGAGAAAATATAATTTTGTGATTTTGTAATATTTTACGCAGCATGCGGCAGCCAAACAGGGGAATCTCCAGGTCACTACAGGTGTACCCAACCCCCATTTACTGCTGGCGACCATGCTTGTCAGTCCTTCAGATCTACCCTAATTCATACGACTAAATGAACGCTTATGATTATGGGGCCGTATAACGCTTGACGTTAAGTATACACAACTATTTGTTTGTGTAAGTAATGCTCGGCTTGATCAATGTCCAAATATATGGCGCGCAGACTATCTAGAAATAACAACCAAAACCGCATAATCGCGTTTCGTCATTCTTGAAACTGGCAATATTCAAGCAGTTTGAAGCAAATGCAAATCTGAATCTAAGAAATGGATCAGAACTCCACCTTAGAAACAGGCGCAACACCATTACCCCATTGAGGGCAAAGGAAGCTACCCTGACGTTTCTTTTTTGTCTTTTACGTAAATCATTGGAGCAAACTAGTTTCAAGCCTGCGAGAAATGCGGAATCAATGAGCTTTCAAGAAAGAAGTACTACAGTTCCTTGGACAAGGACGAGCACTATTTTGAACTTGGCACGGATGGAGCTTAAAATGCGTTGTCTTTTTCAGTCACAATGAAGTACCGTATGCTTTATGCACAAACACTTTTCTTTCAGACCATGGCCCCCGTGAACCACGCCATTGGTGGAAATATCCATGGCTGGTCTGGCATCCTGCCTACCGGTTTAGCCATGACTACCGGACCCTTGCTCATAAAGGCCGCATATATTCCCAGCAAGTATGAGCACCACCTCTAACCCTTCATCTTATTACCTCGTGGCGCGTTTGAATCACTTATCTTCGTTGGTTCTTGACCTACTCCAAAACAATGTAGGTAAATACTAGTAACGGGAAGGCTTGAAACAAATGCCATTGCTGTCTACTAAAACCCTCTCTACTAGCGCCATTATTTAGCGCTCATCTTGAAGTCGACTCCCTGTTTAGCTGCGGCGAGCCTTCGTGGGTTCCCGCATCTCTGCGCAAATCCGAAGCCTGCAAGGAGTCACTTCCTATTCCTCCAACTTTTATTCTCTTGGACCACCTGCACAAATTATCACTGCTTTGTTAACATATTCCTTGAAAGTGTAGGTATACACTAGTGACCAATAGTCTTAATCGGATGGCTATTTCTGGCCACTGAAGCTCTCTACTAACGCCATTACTAGTGTTAGTATATTTCGTTCGTCTTACATCCGACACTTCTGCTTAGCTGCAGTGAGCCGACGTAAGCTCCAAGCGTCTGTGTGCATGTCCTCATCCTGCTAGGAGCCACTGCTTATCTAGCTACTTTTACTCTTTTGGATTATCTGTCTCAATTACTTTTGCTTGGTTGTCGAAATATTCTGTAACCTTTCGTTACGTTGTTAGGTTAGTTATCTCTATCCTTTTCTCCCAAGCGCATACCTATAAATTCAGCTCATTTTAGCGGTTCCCAAGTTGCTTTATCACAAGTCACTAGGGGGCTCATCCCTGTTCTCCTATGTCACACCATCGACAAGAACTACCTGCCGTTTACCCGTCCTTTTCATACGTATTTATGGTCACTATGCATTACCGCCACATGTTCATCGCCTATCCACGCTTAAATCTGCCTTCCGTGTGGGGTCCAGCGTAGCCATGTTCCAACCGTACTGCAAGCAAAATGTCCAATTTGACTGTTTGTACACAACGTACAGATCAGCTAAAACGCATTTAAGTGCCTTAGTTCCAATAAGTGCGATCGCTTGATCCTTCTTCTGATGCGCATGGATGCCAGTTTTGGTTCGCCTTTTCTCCTTTATCCTAAGTTCTGAGACTGCAGAGTAAAACTGAATGAACCAAGCAGATCGGCAAGCTGAAGTTCCTACAACCGGTCTTCTCGACGGAAGCAGGCCTCCACCTACCCAAATGGGACAGAACTTTTGCTTGGAAACATGGCCTATAAAAAGCGATTTGCTGTTCAGAATAATTGAATAACTGGTCACGTCATTCCAAAAAGTGCATGCAAGCTCCGTTTTCCAAATTGGACTAAATTCCCTTAACAACGGCGGAAACTGGTTAAGCCATTCTGCCAAGCATGGTAAAAATATGGTCTTACTCCGACTGCGGATAATCGAATGCACGAGCAGTTAGTCAGAAGCATTGCCTGTCCTACATTCGAAAAGGTAGTGTTCCTGGGCATGGGGGTTTTTGCTTGGTAAGCTTACATTCTATAAAAGGCCACACACGTCCGCGTAATGACACTGCGAACTAGCGAATGTGACTCGCCGTTGAATACAGCTACAGCCCACAAATTCACACTGGCAAGTTGGTCATAATCACATTTTTGCTCACGGTTGTTATGGTTTACCTTGATGCAACGCGAACAAACAGTTTATCTATTTATGCTCACACCGTGCAAATGCACGGGATTCATGTTCATCTTGCACTGATCCCTAGCGGGCACAGCATCTAGCAACCGTCTAGAAATACACTTTGTTTATTTATTTATATATGATTTACCTCCATCTCACCAGCCACTTTTTGGTTAAATAATGGAGCAATGTCACACTAGTGTAAACCTGCTGCACGTACACAGCGCAACGGACGTACTACATGTCTGCGATTTTGTTTCTCCGCGCCTCCAGCATGCATCTTCGGACGCTATCACTTCACTTTTAATGTCTGCGAGTATCACCCGCCTGGTGCCGGACTACAAAATGAGGTTAAGCTTGCTCGTTCAGTCTCAGATAAATTAAAAGGATTTTTAATTGGATCAAAAGACAACACAACCCATACCCTTCCATGCCGGTCTTGTTTAGTCCTTAACGATCTGTTGCTGTTACAGCGTGCGACAAATCTTGTGTATCAGAGAACAGTATGCCGGTGCGGATGTTCGAGCTTCTTAGCTGCCTCACATCAGCCTGCAGTCTAAAGTCCCTAAAAAATCTACTTTGGAGATGTTTTCCGCATCAGTAGCTCTAGGCCTCTACGGGACACAAACCTCACTAAAGCTGCTGAGGTAGATGCTGCTTCACCTAACCTGTTGCACGAAGCACCTGAGGAAATTTATCCACTGTTTACTTATTTGTTTGAGTAGTCTGTGCGCATTTTCTTTCTACCCGCCAACTAAACGTTGGCTATCCTATGTTGCATTTTAAAGTGGTGATAAACATCTTGTAAGTTAGGGACCGGTCAGTTTGAAGAGCGTGCTGGTCATGTGAGTGACACTTGCGAAGGACATTTGATAACCTTTCTGTTTGCTCAGCCCTACGCAACGATGCAATTGTAAGGGTGCTTCCTGTCTTGCTAACTTGTGGTTAGCTCGGGAACATTGAGCCGTAGCAGTCCAGCAAGGAAATGCAGTGGAAGCGCGGTCCATTAACTGTTCAGAAGCATTTGGCAGCTTTCCGCCTTCGCTTCTTCTGTACAAGCTGCAGCCATGCGGATGAGCTGACAGTGACATCATTGACGCTTTTGATGACTAAGTTTCGGTTCACAGTAACCGATCCGAGAGGTCCACTGATCCTAACTTGGGCTCTGGATAAACTTTAGGACCGGTCTCATTTTTGGTAGTTGACCGTGAAGCTCGCGCCATGTTCAGTTCTATGTATAGCATCAGTTGACCCACCGACACGTTATTTGCTTGATGGCGATAAATTGCCGCGGGTGCAACTCCAAGCTGACCCAAAAGTAGTGCTGTTACCCGATTTTAACTCCAGTGAACAATGGACTGCAGCTGTTCACCTATGGTTCGGCTAGTTGTGAATGAGCCGCTAGGCATTCGGGACCATGCCAACTGTAATGTTCATCACGCTATGTTTGTCGTTTGTAAGGTCGCACTTGGCGTGCTGTGTACAGGCTTGCCTCATTTCTTGTTCATGACAGGATTACAGTTGCTCGAGTCCTGCCGTCTGACATGAAATTGATGCACGGGGTAGAGCAGCTAATGTAACTTGATATGCTACATGAGGCGGATAGGTTTTCCATGCAATACATGGGAAACCAGCTCGACTTGTTCCACAGCTTTTGCGTACCAAGACGCTACATTGGTCCTGCAATAACTTGACGGCTCCACTTAACTTAATTGCAGACCATCCGGGGTCACCCACTGAATTTCCACAAACCACGAGTCGGGCGAGTTTGGGCAGCTAGTAACTTAACGCATCGGGTCATAAGTTATTGGAATGCGCTGCCTGCCTGTGCTAACTGCACTGACGTCGTAAGTTTAAACATCCGACTGACGCCATTGGTCTATAGGTTAAACTCTTCCCCTAAATACCTTAAGCGTTCCCTCGTCTAGTATAGCCAATTCCCTAAGTAAGCAGCTTTCCTTTGCATCTTACTACTACAAATTAATTCCGTAAGCCCTGCTTTTCCTTTATTTCCTTTCGTTTTCCCTTCATTACTTGCCCAGAACAGCGGAAAAGGCTGGTGCACTGCACGTGGTCGTCGTTTGGCTGATCATGTGAATCGTGTGTAAGGAGATGGCTCTCAAATTTTATATTATTGTACCCTGCTGATGCAGCTAAGCGTGATGTAATTCATCTAAAGCGTCAGCAATATTTGGGGACATAACTAAGCAAATAAATATCTTTCTTATCCTCGACTACGTGAGGCACACCTATCCACTCATGATCACATTAAGAGTACAAAGACTGATCGCGCATTTAATGAAAGTATATCCGGATTGTTATGCCTGCTGCTTCATGAAAGCAAGTAGCTGCATTACTTGTGTTAATACTAGTGTTGCTGCCTATTGGACCACAGTTACTCGCGGCACCTGGGTAGATAGGGATAGTTACGATTATATGGATTAGATACGGCTGACCGGATAAACGAGAGGCAGAGACTTTAGTTAGTCTCGAGGCGCAATAGCCAAATGGCAGTGTTGTACAAGGGACATTTGAGGCCCTTAATGTGGAGGCCGCCTGCCAGCTTTAACCTCACCACATCCTGGAACATTGACGCCGAACTATTTGTTGAAACAAAGAAAGCCGGAACCAAAGAACTAGCAGTACGAGATAGCTGTTTGACAATCCACCCAGCGGACTACGTACCACAGTGTTTCAGAAGTTCTCTGACAGCTGTGTATAACCTTCTATGTGAAATGAAACCGCCATATTTATTACCTATCAAAATGGCGACACAACGCTCCCAGCCTATTATGAGCCGGTCAATGCAGCTTTCATGGTATTCAAGCCGCTTGAAAACCTAGTGCTTGATTCGGTGGATGGTCCCCTAAATATATTTAGTCTACTTAGTAAATAATTAAATAAAGGTATATTTCTAGTCTGTTGTTAGTGAACAACCCGGATTCTGTTCCAGAGTTACGTGTCTAACGAATTGGTTTTTAGTTCGTGAAAGTTGGTCGGCGGCAGTGAACAATGCTCATATGATAGGCTGCCTTTCATCGACCTGGTTTGCTTTTGACTCAGTTTCCCACTTGAGACCATCACAGAAACCGAGCTACTACAGTGTGTCCGGAAGCACTTTTACAGTAAATCTGAATTCTTTCAGGGAAGCGGACAATGAGTACGCTTTAGACGCAGCTTTTCCTTTAGGCTAGCGGTCCATAAAGTGTGCTATATGGTTCGGCCTACGGTCCAATGCTGTACTCAATCTACGCAAACGATCGCCATGAAGTGCATTGGGTATCCTTGCTAATTTTGTCAAAGATCAAAATTTGTGATAAGTTGCTGATGTCTGTGGTTCGGTAGCTACTCAACGGGCCTTGAGTAGTATTTGGAACGGGGCTAACTTACGGCTACAGCTTGCAATCGGGCAACGTGCCCCATTA